AAATCCATGCCGATTTAAAGTTTAAATCGGTTTAAATCGTTTTAAATCGAGGCCTGGAAGATTCCCTGGAAAAGTTTGGCCTGGATTCTTGAATCCTGAATCCATGCCCGATTAAAGTTTAAATCGGTTTAAATCGTTTTAAATCGAGGCCTGGAAGATTCCCTGGAAAAGTTTGGCCTGGATTCTTGAATCCTGAATCCATGCCCGATTAAAGTTTAAATCGGTTTAAATCGTTTTAAATCGAGGCCTGGAAGATTCCCTGGAAAAGTTTGGCCTGGATTCTTGAATCCTGAATCCATGCCCGATTAAAGTTTAAATCGGTTTAAATCGTTTTAAATCGAGGCCTGGAAGATTCCCTGGAAAAGTTTGGCCTGGATTCTTGAATCCTGAATCCATGCCCGATAAAAGTTTAAATCGGTTTAAATCGTTTTAAATCGAGGCCTGGAAGATTCCCTGGAAAAGTTTGGCCTGGATTTTTGAATCCTGAATCCATGCCCGATTAAAGTTTAAATCGGTTTAAGTCGGTTTAGCTCGAGACCCAAATTCCACATTCCACTTTGTGCGCCTGTGCTTTGGCTCAGTGTTGTGCAAGCATCCAAGTCAGGATTATTCATTCAATTTGTTTCAATCTGTTTCAATCTAGGACCATATTCAAGATTGCAGGCCAAACTATTCTAGGGGATCTTGAATCCAGGCTCGACTAAAGTTTCGGTCGGTTTCAATCGGTTTCACTCTGCCTGCACTCGGGTTTGCAGAGAGGACTTGTCTGGAAATACTTAACCTTGGATCTTAAGTACAGGCTTGGATTCTGTCTTTATCGAATTCTATCAAAGCTCTGAGGAATTGTTTGAATGTATTGGGAAAGTAATGCTATTTTTATGTTGTCCAAACTTGTTTTGGGAACACTGAGATGTTATGGGGCCAAGTGCTGTTAGTCCCCCTGGCCCCTGTTTGACTCTAACTCAGTGATTTCTTTCTCAGGGCCATTTTGGCTCAAGTCCTTGACTTGATCCCTGTCGATCTCGGATCGGTTCATTTGATTGTCTCTTCAGACGCCGTTGCGGATGCCAGGCATGATGCTCGCCAGGAGGCAGCTCGAGAAGCCTTGAAGGAGGAAGCTGCCCAGGCGACAACACCGAGGTCTGGTCATGCGGAGTCACAGCGGAGCTGGGAACCCGGGTTGGGGACGGCTGCTCCTCGCGCTGTATCCCTCCCGAGAAACTCTAGCTTGGAGACACGCCCCATGGACCTCAAGGATGCCAACTCCATCCGGGCAAAGAGGAACCTGTCAGGACGGCTGCTTCAAGCGCTGTATCCGCCTAGGGGACTCTTGGATTCTCCCTGGAGCTGACGACACGGAGTTTGAGAAGAGCCTGTTCAACATAAACAAGTGGCATTATGTGGACACAGCGTGGCCACTGCCGACCTGGTGGCCTGGATTCAGCAGAAGGTGATGGACAAGGCGGTCCGCGCTGAGATCGACAAGGAGCTCGAGAACAAGCTGACCTAAGCGAGGATGCGGAAATGGGCATCATTGACCTTTTCTCCCAGGACCACGTCTGGTGGCCGGCGGTCCTGATGGTATCTCGGTGGAGGTGGCCCACAAATGGAACACCCTCCGCAAGGAAGAGCGGGTGCTGATCCGCTCCAACTGGGATGGGGCGGATGTGGTGGTGCACGCGGACCCGGATGCCGGATCATCTCCAAGCGGAAAACCCTGAAGATGCCGCCATTCTCTGCAGGATTCCTACCCTGACGGAAGAGGACCTGCAGGACACAGACATGTGTGTGGTGCAGACCCACGACGCGAAGGGGCTGTACCGCTACCGCCTTTTGGAGCCGGACCACTTTCCCCACCAGATATAATTCCCAGCAAGATTCTGAACAAGTATTTCCGTATTGAGTCCCAATCAAATCCTGTTCAAAACTAAATGAACATTTAGAGAGCGGTCGTTGGTGGAGATGTGAACTGAGTATGAAAACGCTAAACACACTCTGTTTTACGGTGCTTCTGACCATGGTAGTTCTAGGACTAATGAAAAGACACAAGTTTGGGACCTCTGAATTCTTTCCCTATGAGTTCTACTTAGTATGTTTATCAAATTCGACCAAAATTCTAATTGAAGTTAAAGAGAGTTTAAGAAGGAAATACTCCAGTCAGAATTTCGATTTACATTGGAACTTAGATATTGATTGTTCTATGTCAAATTACCTGGTACACACTATTTCCTTTCCATTAGAACATTGTACTTGAAATTCAACCACTATAAGAACTAGAGTTTATGGTCTAGTCTAGTTTGGTCCTAGTCCGAGTTGGGAGATCCTTGGTTCTAGGCGGCCTAGTATGGTCCTAGCTCATTGAACTAATTAGAAAGCTTAAAGGGCAATACAAAGGAAGGAAAGTCTACTTGAAAATCAATTATTATAGGAATCAGAGGTGGTTCGTCTAGTCCTAGTTTGGTCCTTGGTTGTAGTCTTACTTGGTCCTAGTCCTAGTTGTGAGATCTTTTCAGATGGGCAAATAATGCGCTGGACAGGCAACAAAAAGGTAGGTTTGGGGGAGGGGGGAGTAGCATACATATATATATATATAAATCGCCAGGGGAGCTCAGAAATGCGCTTACAGGCTTCTGCTTTTGTGTTCGGGGACTGACTTCTTTGCGCTGCCCACTGTTTTCTCTCTCTTTGGTGTTGTGAGAACCATGATGAAAAGAGGCGCTTCTTCCACCCGCTCACACGCTTTCCAAACGATAAGGTTCCCCGCTCAAGCGCGCTTGCTCAGCATTGCGCGCGCCCGTGCCAAACATTCAGGCCCCTGCCCAAGTGCACTTGCCCAGCATTGCGCACACGCCTGCAATACTAAGAACCCTCGCACCCGCTGAGATCTTCACACTTGCCAAATGATAAGAGTGTTTCCATTGATGTGAGTACTAGCTTGATCGACCACACATGAACACAGATCAAGAAGTTTGCCCCTGCGCAGTTAGCGAGAAGTGATGACTGCGGAGTCATGAACTTGCGCCTGTGACAATATGTGCATGCGTGGGTTTAGGCACACTCATCCTGAAAAGGATTGTGCACGTCTCCTGGCAGATCACTGGGCTGAAACGGACAGCCGTCGCTTTCTTGGTCCGTGCCAAGGCTGCTCCCTACGTTGATCATCCTGGAGCACAAGGATCCGACCGTGGTGATGTCTGCCATCTACGCCTGCTTTCTGGCCAAGCGCCTTGACTATCTTTTTGGCGACAAAGCAAACACCGCAAAACGGCAGCAGTAGGGATGGGTAAAGCCCGATTGGATGGGTAAAGCTGGATTTGAATGGTTGATGCAGTTTGTCCATCCACCTACAGAAGCCGCAGAGGGAGTTGTCAAGCCCCCGCGTGTTCCCCAGTCGGCTGTCTTCTCAAGGCCAAAAAGACTTATCCTGACTTGGGCGAATATGTTAGATCTTTAATCAATCGCAGAGTCACAGGATTTTTTTTTCGAAGCTTCTCGGTCTTTACATCGTGCACAGCTATCACTACACTAGAACTGAGAGGGTGCGCTGAGTCCTGAGAGGGTGCGCTGAGTCCTGAGAGGGTGCGCGCAGTTTGGGGGGCAATGCATAATCATGAGCTGGATTTGTGGGTAGTGCCTGCGAAAGCTCGGGTTTCAGGTGTCCGCATGCCTTAAATGCCTTGCGGATCAGCTTCCTTTCAGTTTTGGGCCTCGCGGTGCCTGCCGATTTGGGGCACCGGCTTCGGAGTTTCAAGCGAGTCGGTAAGTTTTATTAAGCCGGCGTGTGTATCTTCAAAGGGGACCCCAAAAATGGTTGGTATCCTTTAGGCTTCCCTTTCCAGCAACCCCAACAAGGGTACCCTCAAAAGCACAAAACAAGCACACATGTCCACGTGGCTCGCTTACTTTGTCCTTGTATTGAGGAAGTTGCCCTGAGCTTTGTTCCGGCATTTCCAAGCAGAATCCTGCTAGGTGCGCAGTGACGGCCTTCTTCACCATTTCTTATGCCTGGCAGCTTAGTGTGGACACCAGCAGCTGATGATTTGGCAGAATGTTTGTTTGTATTTGTGTTGGTGTGTTTGTCTTTGCTGACTCGGGGCAATCAGCAAGTCATCCAATGTGCGGGCATATGCATGCCGTGCCCCCGAAGCCCAATAGCACTGGCACTCAAGTTTTCGTACCAAGTCTTGTGACTCGAAAGCCTCTTGTTGTTTGTTGTGGCGAGATGTACTGATTACAGCTCGCCAAGGATCATGATGAATTTGGAACACCTTATACCTTGTAGGGGATATCTGAATTGGTTCCACCAGCAGAACTGAGCAGAGCGGTTCATCGAGTCAAACTCTGCGGCTTACACGTAGCAATAAAATTAATCGATGCGGGTAGGCTTGATTCGAGTTTAATCTGCATCTTTGACATACCCGGACCGAGTTGGTGCCATTTCTTGAGTTTGATGCTTACCAATACCTTCAGTTTGTGAAGACTGGGCAAGGAGGCACACGTATTCATGCAGCTACCTTGCAGATATACAAGCGTCTCTCTATTAGAGCCATTCTCCCAGAATGCGAGTTTACTCTTTGAGAATCGGCAATAGATGTGTGTCCAGCTTACCGTACAAAGCTTTTTCTCGGCTGCAGTGAAAGCTGGCTGGGCTGGCAACCCCTATCTGGGCCTGAGGTTTACATCACCGAGATCTTTCCGTCAGCTCGATGCCAAGAGAACTTGGAAGAGTTGTGTTCTCGCTAGTGAGGTCATAGCGCCTGTCGGAGTGAATAGGCAATGAGGATGTTGATGAAGAGGACATAAGGATCAGTACGGGCACCATGGTCATCCGCATGTTCAGATAGCAGGCGTAGTTTTGCCCAATACTGGCAGCCGAGTTGCGTTGGCTCTTGTTTGGTGCAGACTGGATATTGACGCAAAATGGATCTTCTGTAGCAAGGGATGCTTCCCCATTCACAGCAACGCCTAGTCAAAGCTGAACCGCTGTTGAAAGCGGCAAGCAATTACGAACAATGCATAGTGGCAGCAGCTGACTTTCGAGCCTGAAGACGGCCCTGAAGACCTGGCAACTGTCTCAAAAGCTGGTTTACATATGTATGGACATAGCTTACCGCTCCTTGGTCCACAAGGCAAGAAATGAATCATACAGAGCATCGTAGTTACTACGTTGTTTCAACAATGTGGACTGATGCTTTGTCTTTGCCAGGCATGTCGCTGTACCGCAGCCTCTGCATGCATGGCGGGAGGCCGGTTTGGGATGGGCGGCAACAACAGCAAATTCATTGCGGTTGGATTGACTCAGATGAATGAGCTGTTCTTGGGTCCGGCGAATCAAAGCAACCTTGCTTTTTGCAGCTATGGCGACCTTGCTCGCCAGAGACTCTTAGCCTTGTGCATGTGCATGATGCATTTGAGTCTGCTTTAGCATATTTTAGCATTTGATTCCGGTTCAGCTAAGCAGATGTTTGCGATGAAGGTCATATGCTTCTCATTGTCCTTTGGAATATGTTGCTATTTCAAGGGCGGGAGCGGCAGGCCACGTGTGACGATTCAAATTTACGTGGGCCATTCACTCACATGCGCTTTGGGGTGGCCTTAGTCTTTTGTCGCGATGCGTGATGGAGATATCGCAGCTGGATGCCTGTGAAATGATAGCAGTGTTCAAGCAACCCACAGGCAAGAGAAATGTCGAAATTGTTTTAGACATTTCAGCACATAGCTTTACAACTCACTACTTGGAAGGCAGAGAAGCCAGCTTCAAGCACTCTTGATATGTGGGGGGAGGTATTATTGCCTCTTTGAGCAACACACTAGCAACTCCAGGCGGAATACATCTATTGTTTCAGACAAAGGTACTTGCTTGTTGCGGCCTCGACTTATCGTGTTGGTCCATTTGCTGTGCACTGGTCAGGCCGGGTGGGTTCTGCCCGGAGCCTTGAAAGCAGTGGATCCTCCGGTGGATCACGATGTCGACTGCATGTTGTTGGTGACACGGATCTTCGGACCCTGGGGAGGTTTTCACATTTTGCTGCATTGACCGTTTGGGGGTTTGGGGGGTCCGGGGGGGGGGGGGTGAGGCCCAAACCAGGGTACCTTATTGCGGAGGAACGGGTACCTTGTGGTAATGGTTTATTGTAGGTCCCTGGATCTATTCCACACGATGATCACGCTGTCAATGGTAAATGGAGTGTATCTGGAAGTCCCTAGTAGGATTGTCTTGTGGGCATAACCTGTAAAGCGGTCCGCAAGTAATCCCTTTTCTGTGCCTGTACGTGTATGGTATGTACAGTGGCAACAAAGAGTAGAAGAGGGGCCTTGAACCAAACGGTTGCATGGAGATCAACATGTAAATCAAACACACGGGGGGGGTGATGGTTTTGTGTTACCCGAAGGCAAACAGGCTCCTGTCCCAGGTCGGCCCTGCGAGGGTTGGGGGGTGATTGTTTTCTTTGTTATGCTGCATGATCGCTCGCGGATGCAAGAAGGAGTACAATAATGGGGCGGCTGAAAAGAAACACATTTTTCGCCGCAAACGCTGCTCAGGCATGAAAAGCAATGAGTGGTATTTCACAGGGATCGTGAACAATTGACAGAGGGTCCTTGTATCCGTGTTACCATGTTGTTGTGTCAAAATTGGCACCCTGAAATGGCAGGTTTCATGTTGCTTGCTTTTCAGTAACCCCTGTAAAGGGGGCTTAGTTTGAGATGCGACTAAATGTTGCTTCTCACTGATCATAGACCATGGGCGGTGTCTCAACTCAAGACGTTGCATTGAGGTGATCGCTCCTTTTGCCTTTGAAATGCTGGCACGCGGCGAGTCGGGAGCCTGAGAGGGATCCACGAGCATGCAGAAGTCTCGGCAAAGCCGTGTGGGTTACCGGATCAAAATTCCACTTCCGCTTTGTTTGGCAGGCTTAAGATGGGCAATCCTCTTTGAAGTATAGAATTCAAAGGTTTCGGAGTGTGGTTTAGCTCATTTGTTTTGTTTGAAGGAATTGTCTTCGTTTGAGGCTTCAAACATTGTGCAGCAAGCAGCGCGGAGCCATTTGCCGTTCGGCGAGCTCATTCAAATTGAGCCCTGATCACCAGGCTGCTACAACGGTCAAGTACATGCCAGTCCAATTCCACCAAAGGAATACTTGGGTATGTGGCAAAGTCGGGTGAACCCCAAACGAGTGCTTTTGGGTTTGCTTACCAAGATGAACAGTAGCCTCAACAAACGACACGCACACATACACTAACCCACACATTTTACCATAAGATGTTGGTTTGCCTTCGCCTCCTGAGGTCTCATGTTCTCTTCTGGCTGCTGAGCTCGTTCCTGTGCATTGTGGCAGTCCTCGTGATCAAGATGCGAGCTCAGCAAGTCTTCGGGTGTGAGAGTGACATGCAGCCAACCCTGGCAACTCAATGGAACAAACAGCTGTGCACAAGCACGCTTGATGGATTGATGGGTTATTTGATTGCTGAATTTGTTGGTTTGCAGTTGCAAATGTAGTTCACACGGGCCAATTCTTTTTTGGGTTGATTCGCTGATGACTTTGGGGGGTTGCAATTCAGGCCCCTCTTTGGACCTTTGCTCAAGCGACGTCACAAGGCAAGCAGGGTCGAAGATCCTACCAACTCTTGGCCAATCAGCAGTCAAACGGATTGGCGGAAGCACGTGAGGGTGGAATGCCCTAACCCATCAGCTAGGATAGGTTTGTTGCCATATCGTTGGTTTTCAGGTTTGGGGCCGTCCAGTTGCAGCAAGAGTACCACAGAGAACCAACGTGTTTGTAGAGTTCAAAGGCCAGCCCAAAGCGTCTCGTGTGATTCGGGACCTCAAGGCGATGCCTCACCTTCGAGCTGAAGGGCGAGCCATTGGAGGACCGAGTGCGAAAGATTTCAAGGCACCACCCTCAGAATTCCAAGTGAATGGGTTGTTGCCCAAAACAATTTGGGGTGAATTCCCTTTTTTGTGGGTGAGGGTCCAGGTAAGCTGTAAAGTTTCGTTCACTGGATCCGGCACTTTCATGTGATGCTTGACTGAGGAACGAGCTCTTTCAGCCTGTTAAGCCTGATTGAGGGCCAACCACGGCCGGTCTTTCGGACCGCTGCCGAAAGTGGCATGCATTGTCGGCATTGCCTTTGGAGTCGAACAATGAATTATGCAACGCAAACAATCCACCTCGGTGCCAAACACACCCCAATTTCTGCCCCAAACGGGCCCCGACACTAGTGCTAAGACTGTTTTGGAATACTAGCCTGTGTGAGGCCAGGCGAAGAGCTGCGTGCGCAGGCAGTTGAGTAATTACCCTCCGGCAGTTGAGTCTAGAGCAATCCTTTCTACCCCTCCGACTCATCCTTTCTCGGTTCCTGAACTCGTCGCGCGGTGTCCATTTTGACGCAGCTGGCTGGGATGGATCCTATGCAATACACGTTTCCTCTCCAGCGCATTGACATTGCTCATCCCCAACCCTCGGATTTGGGTAGCAGCCCGCACAAGAAACAGCCGCAGCTCAAAATCCCCCGTCCCCTAGAATGGCCTGGCGAGTGGAAGGGCTCGAGTTTGTGTCCCTGCAAGTCTGCTTCAACGCAGGACGTGGTACTACGACGCGGCGACCTCCGCATGAAAAGGCCACACATGTGTAATTTTACTTAGCGTGTCGAGAGTCGTCCCTTGTCGGGTAGCAACATGCGTATTTGCGAAATGATTTGCATGGGATGGATAGCGAGCTGTCCCTTGTTCTGCGATGCTTGGGAAGTCCATGGCCTGCTGCTACATCCGATTTTCAAGATTGTGGCTACTCATCCACATTGGAGGGTGTGTTGTGTGTGTGTGTGTGTTTTCTCTTTTGGCTGACGATGCAGCGTGGTGAAAGCCAGCTCTGTTTTATGCATATTATGATATATATATATATATAGCCCTCCCCATGAAAAACTATGGTCTACTATAATATATATATATATATAATAGTTTGTCAAACCCTAAACAAGCTAAACTGATCTAGATTGTCCTGCTGCGAACGGTCGGGCCTGGCTTTGCGCTTGCAACGGATGTAAGTATGGCGGCCTCATGCGGCCTCTCATTTGCTGTCTCCCCTGCCGTTGTAGGATGTTTGTTTCGGGTGGACAGTTTTTGGGGATCTATGTTTTGTTTGCAGGGAAGTATAGTTGTTGAGATCCAGAGGTCACTGTCTTGATTGCAAGATGTGTGCGAATCGCTGCAAGCTGTAGATCACTCAGCCTGGGAGGTGGTGATCAAACTGGGCCAGAGGAAAGGACATGAATCAAGGATCAATATTCACTGTCATCTACTGTGAAGGGAATGACTCTGGTATCCACTGAGGGAATAATGCGCACCAAACGTCGGTGCTCCCCATATGAACAGCGAACTGGCGGAGTGAACAAATGAAGCAATGCTGGCAAAGGCAAATCCAGGTTGGAACCTGAAGGGGGAAAACCCTGATCTTTACGTTCCGAAGATACATGCAATGTCCGGGATTCTGGGAGCTTCGCAGGCCTTCACTGCTACCTCCCGAGAAGCGGGTGCCGGGCCGCCCGATGTTGCACTTAGCTTTCTTGATGCAAGCTGGTCAGTAAATCAGAGAGGTGACTGTGGGTGGGTGGGTGGGTGGTTTTGGTGATATGTTTACGTAGACACTGGGGAAAAAATATGGGCCAAGCCAAACTTGTATGACAACGGCAGGAGAACAATGTGGGGCCATGCTTGTTGACCAACCTGTAGCCCGGAAATCATGAGTGCTCACCAGCCCTGTGGGGAACCCGTGAGCACAGGCAAGTTGATCAGTCATGAGAGACAGTCCCTGACTATGTGTGTTGTTGTTTTGTGCTGAACACCCCAAGCAAGATTGTTCATCAGTCGCTGTGCTGACCTGTCAAGCAACGTCGATGCAGTGGTGATCAAACCTAGGCAACCTTGTTGTTAAAGCCAGCGAAGATTATGCAAAGATGCCTCTTCTGCTCAGCGTGCTTCTGGCTTGATCTGCTCAAAGATGGCTGAGGACACCCAATAAAAGTAGCGGAAGGAATCCTGCCAGCGTGATCTTCCCTTGCAAGAGTACCACCGGTGCCCTCAGGCAGCGATGCCGCTACACAGCCTCAGCGCAGGTTCGAGGGGCCAGTACGGTGGGTGGCCAGCTCGAACACTTGCACCGTTGTGAAACAGTCTTTGTTTGTCGTACGCTTTGGACTTGCCCGAAGTTTTGCAAAGTCAAACTGAGCTGGGCCGATTTCAGTTCACGACTGGACGCTTGCTCAACAGCAACAACCACGCCTGCAAGGGGTTGCCATGACCCCTAGTGCCACATAATTTCCCCGTATTCCTTTCAAACCAGGGCCCACTGTAGCTGCAAAAAGCGCGCTAGCTGTTCATGGCGGCTTCAACAAGGACAGCAGACCTCCTGGTTCTGCGGGGCTCACATATTATCCACAGTCCGTGCTTGGTTTGCTGAGGGGTGGGGGTACTGAAGTCACTGAAGCAGAGACGAACAAGCTGACCGCGGACTCAATTAACTTGACCCGGCTGCGCGGGCTGTGTCTTCAGTGTTGAGATTAACATGGAAGTGGAAGCCCTGCAAAAGGCCACGCCGGAGCAGAGCGGAGGCTTCAAACGTAAATTGTCTGAGACATCGTTCAGCTTGTGTCTTAATGGTGCAACCCGCACAGTTTGCACATGTCGCGTTAGTCTCGGTGAGTACACACACAGAGTCAACAAACATTGTTTGGCATGCTGACAGTGCTTGCTCCCTTGGCCAGTCCACGCTTGTAGGAGATCCCGTGGAAGAAGGAGGATTATGCAACGATGAGCGCTTAGAGACTGCCTGTGGCTTCCTGCTCAGAGTTGCACACAAAGGCAAGCCAAGGTAACATAAATTTGGATTATTATTGTTGCAGACAGACTCGAAAGCGCTTTTCTGGCAGGTGAGGGGCGCGATGATAAAAAGTATATTCTGTTCACACCGCGTTAGGGACGCCTGCAGAATACTTTATGTGTCATCAGCCTTTCGCTGAAAAGCAGGGGGAGTGTCTCAAGTTTCTTAATACCAGTTTCACTCACCAGCGCAGCGCGGCAAAATACCCTGGGCTGGGAGCAGCTCGATGTAGCCGTGTTTGCTTCCGCTTCGCTGGCCAGACCTGGACACGGGTGACGGAATGCACTTCTACAACGGTGGCAAACAGACCAAGAAGGCATCATTAAGGTGGAGATGATGGAATGTTCAGCCACACACACACGCACAGACATCTGCGTCAGCTGCACATCAACCGCGATAGAATCGCTGGCAAACATGGATGGTCCAAAACATTCGCCAGTTGGGGTGGATGAAACGTCTATATATCAAGCAGCGCCTTGGGCTTTTGGTTAAAAACAATCTATTGCTTGGACGTGCATATAGATTATGGTAGCCCCCCAAACCCACGCCCCAAGAGAACTTGACGGCATCTACAGTACTTTTGGGTGGTGTCCACCCTTGTTTTGAGGCACCCCAATTTTGACCCTAATTTTGACTGACCATCTAACTACACCTGCAGCTGCACATTTGACTGCACCTCTGTCCACCTAGAATGCTGTAAAGCGCTTTAAAGCACTTTTGGATTCAAGGTTCAAGATTCAAGAACCATAGTCCTGGGAATCTCGATTTTTAGATCCGGAAGCGCGTTAAAGCGCCGAAAAGCGTCTGTTTTCAGTCATTCATGCTTGTTTGTGCACCTTATTATTTTTGGAACTGCGTGCGGTAAACGCAATTGATAGTTCAGCATATGGATATTGGATAACCTGGATAACCAAATTCTTAGAACATGATTTAAAGAAATCTACGCCAACCCTTGGATATTGCAAAACACACTGTAAATACCAGTGTGTTGCATGCGTCTTAGTAGGTTATGTGCAGCACCGATTTCGTTCAGGCAAGTTAGTTGTTTTAGCAGACAACGTGGCATTGGTCAAGGCATACCAGATGTGAGTAGGTGTTTTGTTGGTATTGGCCAAGGTTTATGAGCTGACAGACGAGGGATTTGCAGATGAGTTGAGATGAGAGATGGACGATGCATAGCAGGTATTGGCATAGGTTTGTAAATTGAGAGACGAAGAGGATTTGCACATTGATTGAGATGAGAAATCGAACATGCGTAGGTGAAATAGAAGAGGCATTGGTTGCTTTATTGTTGATACCCTTGCGCTGCTACTCTCACAGAGATGGTTTACTGTCAGTTGAACGAAGATAACATGAGTGATGAAGACTATGAAACAACAAAATTGAAATGGAGACATTTTAGCAGTAAAACAAGAGAGACCATCATGACTTCTGTGAAAGCAGATGTTTTTTTTCTTGACTGACATTGGCAATAAGTTCAGAGATGTAAGTATGATTTATTATGGCCTAGACCCTGTGTGCTATGATGTTTTACCTAACTTTGATTTTACACTTTACCTGCCTTTGCTTCTGATGCTATGTTCAAATTGATTTGTGTTGAAAAATCATTTAGTTTGTGAACAAAACAACATGGAAATGATTGAACAAGAATCTGAAAGAAGAACACCACAAACATGCTTCACAAAATAGAAGCAGCTACAATTCAATGGGTGGCAAACTTTAATGAATCATCTTCGCAAGTCTGCCAACATTGTAAAATGAGCCCACATCCATCTAAAATGACCTGGTTTTCCTTACATAAGCAGCAGGCTTTTGTTGGGGGGATAATATATATATATATATACGAACTCAGTTCTGCTGAAACTGCTCCCTGAGACTGGCGAACTGCTCATTTGGAGTGACAGCTCTGGACCGCCTCGCTCACAGCTTACGAAGTCTCGCCGGCCGTGCCGGCTGGGGACGCCAGGCCAGGAGGATTGAGATCGTGGGCAGCGGACCCAACCTCAAACAAATCAAGGAGAACAGTACACAGTGGAAGAGCGTGATGTATTGGTTGGCAGACATCGTTCTTGTCCCAATCCCTGGTTCTGCTGGAAGATGGCAGCATATTGAAAATAATCGCAGACAAGCTAGGTTTGTGTCAAAAGATTAGGTTTAATCAATGAGTTCCAGCTTACTCACATGCAAGATAGGCCAAAAGCTCAGATGATATCCCCAACAGCAGGCATCGCCACGCTTCCCCGCAGCCCTTCACAGAACCACCCCGGAAGAGGCGCCCCGAACCACCGGCAAAGAAAGACCCCAAAGCTTTCAGCTGTTGGCGAATTTCCCCGCCCCGCCCTCTTTTGCGCAGAAAAAGACAACTCAGAAGTGGACTGGTCCCGATTGCAGGTTGTCCTTGCACCACCTGGCACAAACCTGGGTGCAGATTTTTTGGCAGGTGCTCCTGTCTTTGATAGCACTCTGTTTGAGGTTGAAGGGTGTCCAGCCATTCAGAGGATTCCCCATGAGACAATTCAGGATTTGCCAGCAGTCATGTTGAACCTTCTTGTGGGAAACGCAGCAGACAATCGTGTTGTTGTATTTTTGTTGTTCTGACCTGAAACAGTCTAAGAGTCTAGGCGTGGACTGCCTTCGTGGTTCCGCACTTTGTTGATAGAAGTATTCGCAGTAAGGGCCGCTCCGAACTCTAGCATGCCCATGGTTGTTGGCATATCCGTGCCAGCCGGCGCAGGATCACTTGCAGAGCCTTTTCTGAAGTGGCCGCGAAACACAAATATGTCCAAGCCGCCAAAGTGCGTGGCAGCAAAGGTGATGCCACCAAATGGGTCTTTTTTTTGAGGGTACCTCTTTCTTGTAGTTAACCAAGAAAACCCAAAAGGCTTGAAATGAAATCCCAACATTTGTGGTGGGTCCATGCCAATTCTTGGAAAGGGCTTCTCGTTTGACAAGTCGAAACGGCAGAGCGCCTGTTGTACGCCTTGTGTATGAATTTGATACTAGGCAACCCCCTGAAACGTGGACATGAAGGGAAATGATGTCCACCCAAGGGGCCCACTTGAAATTCATGCCGTGCAAATGAGCAATCCCTGCCCATGACAAGCTTTGCCAGGCATGTCGCAGCGGAGACATACCATCCTGCTTGTGCAGCTGGGAACCCCAGTGTTTTGCCTGTGCGATGTTTGTTCCGCATAGTTCATATTGTATTAGCATTTGTCGCGCCCGAAAGCTTGGGTGGGAGATGCCATGTAACGTGAGGTCTATGACGGCCATCACAAGGATCGACGCAAGCTCCACGTCATTTGTTCTGATCATGATGGTAATCGCAGCTGGTGGGATATGAAGGATGAAGCATATGTTTGCTTAAATGTGGGTTGCCTACGGCGAGTGTGAACTAGTGGTTGGTTGCACGTGCCTTGGCTGAAAGTGTAAGGTCTCTGGCAACTTGCTCCTGTGCGCCCGGCCATGTTGCGACATTGCATTGCTTGAAACATGGGGGCATCATACAGTTCTGTCGGTGTTTTGAGTGTTTTAAACAGGTGTGAACATCTTCTTCTCGAATTACCTGAGCCACCAGAAAGACAGCACGGCTTTGTTGCTGGAAGTTTTTTCAGAAAGAAACATCAATCCATTGGCGGTATCCAGCTCACCAATCTTATGACGGTTCTTGTTTCAAGCCAAGCACAACAAGGCTCAGAACTCGAGGTTCTGTCAGTTTTGAATGTCAGGGTTCCTGACTTTTGTTGAAAGCCGCCAATTCACTGGCCGAGCTTACCATGGCTGTGTGATGGACAAATCACACCGCTTGGTGAGTAGCTCACTGAGCCTGTGGCACTCGGTTCCGAATCAGAATCTGAAGCTGAGTGAGCCGGCAAGCGGCTTGCAAGACACATCCAATGTGTTTGAACTGTCGTGTTGGTTCTTTGTTGTTTGCTTTGAGCCCCCCAGAGTCGAGATGCGTTTCCCTTTCCGCATTTTGCGGCAGTCTTCCTAAGGGTCAAGCTCACTGTTTGTTTCAACGGAATTTCTCGTGCTAGTGTTAGTCAGATGTTGGGCCAATATTTTACTTGGGCCATTCGGTTGTCCCATGGCACCGACCCCAAAAATTAGAGAAACATTCTCATTGCGGGAACGAGCCATTCAGAGGTGTGTGATGTTGCAGGCAGGCAACTTGAACCATGGCCCAATCCGCCTCCTCGTGCAGGGCTTTTCTGAGGGGAGAATTACGGCCTTTGAGGGGATTTCGGGAGATACGTGTGTGTGTGTGTGCGTTTGTTTTGATAGGGGAAACCCTTTTTAGTTGAATTTAAAGGCAAACCAAAGCGAAACCACCTTTTGTTTTGGGCGGGGGGACCCGAAAAACAGACACCCACATTCAGTATGAGCAACACCGGCGCTGCCTCAAGCTTGATTTTGAATCGATGTTCACAAATCATTACTTGTTGTTCATGTCCGCTTGTCCTGGAACCTTGCAAAGGCCGTTAGTAAACTGGGTCCTTCGCCCACCTGTTGGTCATCTCAGCTACACCTCATTTTGTTTGTGCGGTAAGGTTTGGAAGGCAGGGGTGTTGTTTGGTTTGTTCTCAAGCACAATTGGATTTACCCAACCAAAACAATCACCACGAGCCATCAGAGAAGGCAACTCACTGTGCCCTCTGAGGTTCGATAACTCACGGGAGGCAAAGACCTACATGGAGTATCCTGGGACCCGGGAGGCCCAGAGAGTGTGACAGTCGCTGGTTGCAGCTACCCAACAGCACAAAGACCCTTCAAGAAGATTCCCATGAAGATTCCAACTTTTGAACCTAGACAGCAACCTTAGCATCAGCCTTTGGGGTTCCATTTATTTCACTTGATCATCTTGATGGACAGGTGTTGACTACTGTGGCTCATGGGCATGCAGGACAAACCTTCTGTGAGACATGAAATACGTGCACATCTAGACGTTTCCGACCCCTAGGAGCCCTTCCACAACGTGCTACTGTGATTTG